TCTCTCTTCTTCTTATTATTATTATTATTATTATTATTATTATTATTATTAATTTGCCCTTTGACTTAAAAACCGTGAAAGTCAACCTTCAAATTCAAATATAAAAAATCAAACTTAAAAAGTAAAACTTGAAAAGTCAAACCGAAAGGCTAAATTTGAAAATCTAAAATTAATTGAAAAAGTCAAAGCTTAAAGTCAAAGGTCAAACTAGAAAAGTCAAAGTCAAAATTTAAGTAAAAAGTCAAAATTAAAAACTAAAATTTGTGGGTTGAAAATGTAATTTAAAATAAAGAAAATTGATTTTTAGGTTAAAAATGTCAAAATTGCGATAATAGGTGCGAAAGGGAATCTTTAAGAATTAAAAACGGAAGGAGGATATCATCTCCCACCCAAGATGAGATGGTTAAGGCGTTGCATTGATGAAGCGGATGGCGTCAATTTGATTCCTGGCAACTACATATTCCCTTTCCTTTTTTTTTAATAAGATGTTGCGAAGTCTTGAGTTGACTAGGAGCTCCGACGACTGAAGCCTCGCACACCATCCGATGCCACTTAGCCGAGAACACCGTCCGAAGCCGCACACCGAACCGTACACGTCCGAGCTGCACATTCCCGGGCCGGACACCTTCAACATATTCGCGAAAAAACGACGTTTTTCACCATTTTTTGCTCCAAAACTCGATCAAAAACTCGTTTTTTATGAAAAATGCAAAGAATAAACCCCCCCTTATTTTGCCCCGATCTATCCAAAAACACAAAAATCCTTCCAAAATAAGATCAAATAAGTTGCAGATCTTACAAAATTGATTGATACAATCCAATCTCTGATACCAATTGTAAGTCTCAAGCTATGGATCAAAATCAGTAATCAATAAGATAACAACAATCAAATAGAGTGTCAGAAGGAGTAGAAGAAGAATCAAAGCAAGCATGCACACATTTATATCATATAAACGTTAAGTACACCCTGTCACACATACACTGTTCATTTGTACTTGACAAGACTGACACAACCAATTATATACACCCCACACCAACACATATGAGTGCATCCGCACACACATGTACGGCCGCACACGGCGTGTGTGGCTGCACACACACACACATTGTAACAACCCAAATTTTACAAAGAAAATTTTTTGTTTTAATTAATCAACCGATTACACATTCCATAGGTTTTCAAAACATTTGTTTCCAAATCACATTCATTACATCGTTGTTGTCTTTTTCTAAAAACATCAGAGAGTCCCAAAACATACAAAAGAGAGGTAGAGTACGCGCCGCGTCATCACGCCTTGCCCTTTCCCTTAGGCTCCGAAGTATCTGCAACAATCAACAACCTGTAAGCGAAATGCTTGGTGAGTTCCCCAAAGCATACCACACACAATCCACACAACACATATCCTATTAGCCAAAAAACCTACATACATACACATAAGCCATGCATACATGAAACC